CACTTCATCGATAAACACCATAAAAAACATCAACAACATTTTCACCGCAAATAGCAACAAAAACAACGCCAACAAAACCTTAAACAACAACACAGCACACAACAACAGTACAACACACCACACAAACAACTCTACATACAAACACAACAGCGCGAACAACACGGCAAACATCACCATCGCGAACAGCTCCGATGATTTCTACGGCAAATCTGAAAAGCTAGCTCTTACCCTAGTTGGTCTGCTGCTGTTTTGGCTGTTGCTATTCATCGTCGTCTGCGTGGTTCTGCATTGTTTGAAGGTTAGAAAACGCAAGAAGGAGAACAATTTCTGTAAAACCAACAACGCTAAAAACGTCGATGGCCATGAAGTTGGCGTCCTAGCCCAGAAGTCTCAGGCTCTTTTCAAATTAGATCTCCATCAAACCCACCAACACCAAAGATGCTCAGAACATTTCCAGCCTTACTTCCATCGCAAACATTTGCAGCAGCAGCAGCAACAACAACAACAACGACACAAAAGGAGCAACAGCAACGGCCAAAGCGAATTTTTTTACTTCTCCCACAAGCAGCATCGTCACAGCAGCAACTTCTACAACCACCACCAAAACAGTAGCGGCCACCACAACAACAACGCCACCAACTCGTCATTCGCCACAACGGCCACGACACCTAACGACGATATAACAGATGAGACCTGCCTCATTCTCTCGCCAACTTCGCCATCCACTCAAATCTACTCTCCAACCACACACACCTCAAACATCTTTTCACCATCCAGCACCCCTTGCACTATGACTCCCTCCACCCCCCTCCCTTGCATCAGCACAGACACCTCGTGGCTGCCCGAAGATTTCAAAATCAACACAAACACGATGAACAGTGCGAACAACAGCAGCGCTAACATCGTGAACAACGTGAACAGCATGAAACAGAAGAACAGTATGAACATGACAAACCACATCAGCAACGCTAACAACTACGACACGAAAGTTCAGATCAACATTGGCAACACTTACTGCAACAGTAGTGACAGTTCGATAAACAAAATGACACTTCATGCCTGCAAATCATTCAACAAACAAAACTACACCAACAAACTTCTTGATAGCATCAACAACAACAACTCCTCCCACGATGACAACAAAAATTACTTTAATGTTACCAGGGGCATCAACATTCGGAAAGACAACAACAACAACAGCAGCAGAGTTGAAGAAAAAATTTGCATGGCCAATCAAGATGGCATTGTCCGTTTGAATGACGCAAATTTCCAAAAAATGACAAACTCTACTTTGATTCAGAGGAAAACAGATCCTGATGATGATGACGACAACAACGATGATGACAACCGCGCTAATGACGATGATTACAACTTTGGGCAGTATGTAGAGGATGAAAAAATAAAGAGTACTACTAATTTTCGCAAGAAACAATACAATGAAAATCTGGCCAGAAGCTCCGAGAAGAGTTGCAAGAACTTCGCCAAGAAAGGGAGAAACTACAAAAATGCGATCAGCAACAAAAACATAAACAACAACCTAAACAACAACCTGAACCACAACATAAACAGCAACACTACAAACGCAAACAACACCACAACAAACACAAACATCAACGCTAACGTAAACAACAACATTAACAACAACTTAGACCAGAATACAATGGACGACCGAGATGTTATTAATACAAATCGAATAGTTGGTAATAGTCTCGGAGGCAGAGAAATTAATCAGAAAAATAATAACGACAACGCTGCTAATGTTAACTGTTCTCACTGTGAAGACGGTGAAGATGATGATGGTGGCGATGAGGATAATGATGATAGTGATGGTGATTGTGATTATATCAACATACAGGCCATTGAAGATGATGACGATGACGATGATGATGACGAAGGAGGCATGTTTTCCACAAAGTCTGCTCGTCACCAACAGCAGCTCTTTAACAACTCAAACGTTGAACATTTCAATGAACGACAAATCAACAAAACTCTTGGTGGTAGTTTTGAAAAAAAATATACCAATGTTCATGATGGAGTTGAATCAATCATCAACAACAACAACAAAAACAACAACAACAACAAAGACGTCAGTATTTACACAAACAACAACATCAATAGTAGAAACAGCATCTGCACATCAAAAATTTTCTCGCATCTGCAAATCTGTTATGACAGTTTTTCGCCGGAAGTAGAAACTCCATTCAGCGGAAGTAAGAAGAGTAAATTGACAATGACGTCACCGGAAATAAGTAGCTCGGGATTTAGTGACTGGAACGGCAATGTTAACATTGACTGCGTTAAATATGACGCGAATGTTTTAAAGAAAAGTTACTCTAATGAAGATGAGAGTGATGGAGAAGATGAAAATGATGAGGAAAGTTATGCTGGTTGGGATGATTATGATGAAAATAAAAATTTAGACTCCGAGATGAAGTTAAATTCTCTTGATTCAAAACACGTGCCAGGATTTCCACATTTTCAAGGTCAGCGAAGTCAACAAAGTTGCCAACACAGCCAAAATTTTCAACAAGGGCAAAAAAAATTTTTATTCTCAGAGTTCCTCCTCCCAAAATCTGGCAGCATGAATCAATCCGACGCCTCAAAATTGGAGAAAAAAAAGTTAAAATTTACGAATTATTACAACATTTTATTTCTAAACAATGATAAAAGTAAGAAGAGTCTTAAAACTCAAAATCGAACATCTACTGCGTCAACAGCGTCATGCTCCAACCCAGCAACCTCTTCAGTTCCCACCACCTCCACCACACACCCATCATCGACAACGAGATCTCTCGTTTCAAGAAAAACTCCAAACATGGGCAGCTCTATCAGCCTGCATCGGCGTCTGACACACGCAACCAGCAACAACAACATTTCAAACGTCAACAACAACATTTCAAACGACAACAACAACAACGATGTTGTTAATAACAATATTAGCGTGGAGAGCAATTCATTGTCCAAAAGTAAAAATGAAACTGATATGAACAGCTGCGATGGAATTACTGATCAACTGAGCAACAACATTTGCAATCAAACCAACCTACACGAAACTTCCAACAGCATTTCTACTATTGAAAACAGTTTTAACGTTACTCCATATGAGACAAACTTCAGTAAAGTTCACCTCATCGCTGACAATAATGACGATCTTGAAAGTTACAATCTCGGCAGTGGTTTGAAAACTGTTAATACATCCAACCTTGCAAAGACAGACGCCGATTTCACACAAAACCTGCGTCAAATACACGAACAACCTCTACTCTTGCATCCGCAGAGATTTCTGCAACTACAAATTTCACAACAACAGCAACAGCAGAGGAACATCATTTCATTGCCTTCCAAAATTAAACAAATTTCGTTGAATGGAACTATTACAGACAGCAACGACGCCAAACTTTTTGGCAACCAGACCATTCCCCATCAACAACAAATTCAACAGCAGAAACATCAACGCTATTCATTGCCGAATCAAATTGACCAGCAACCGTTCAAAAACCAACTTCAACACCATCAGGATCAACACCAACATGCGCAAATGCCTTCTTTACAAGATTCTCAAACAGTTCTATTTCACAAGCCTCCATTAAAACCTCAACATCACCAATTAAATCTGCAGAATCCAATGCTTCAGAAAGATCAACAACAAAATCAACAATCCCAACAGCTTCTTCAAAAACCCAAACTGAAATCATTAACGTTACTGAAGTTCCAACAGCAGCAACACCAGCTCCATCAAAAATTCCAGCCCAATCAACAACAACAACAACAACAACAGCACATGCTACCTTCACCTTCTCTGGAGAAACCGCGCCAGCCTATAATGGGCCAAACAAGGTTAGCAGATCGCCATAGAACGGACATCGCGTCAACTAACATCTTCTGGTCGCCACAAATTAATCACAACAGTTGCAACGACATCAGTAGAAATTCTAACAAGAGCAACTTCAATTTTTGCAACAATAGCAATGCTGCTGAAGACGTTGTTTTTGCTGACAACGCTAATAAAACAATGCAACGTCCAGACGACGGTCAGCACATTTACGAAAGACTGAATCACTTCAGATTGTCCCAACCTCTTGACCACCATCAGTCGCAGCAGCAATTCAACTTCAACCAACCTGACCGTAATTCAGCCTTGTTGGAGAACCACCACCACCACCAACAACAACAACAACATCAACAACAATACCAACAAACACCTCAGCCAACTGGACAACAACATTTCACTTCACAACATCAACTCATCATCGCCTACCTTACTCCGACACAACAACACCAGCAGAGAGTGCAAGAGTGATTTGCTCCAGAGAAGGGCTCTGAACATTCACAACAACAACAACAACCACAATAGCAACCGCCACAATAAAAACATCAACAGCAACTACACTATCAACCATATAACCAATAACAACAAAACCAGCAACAACAACGTGCGTCAAAACTGCCTAACCATCGACTCGACAAAAATTATTCCAAACGTAAAACAGAATTTTGTCGAAAAAAGCCGCGAGGACAGAACCACTGAAAATGTTTGGCGACCAAAGGATTTGTATTCCATTAATACGAATGACTACATGTGCAATAACGAAAGCAGTAAACTCGCTGAGCAGGGCGTTGGCCTAGAAACGTGTGGCAAATACAATGTGTAACTCTTTCATAAAAGGAGATTGTTTGAAATAAATTCAAATCCTCACCTACCAATCATTTAGTTGAACTATTGAGAATTTTTAAAATTAATAAAAAATATTTTGGTAATTTTTTCAAAATTTTTAACGCTACTATTGCTAATGTAGAAAATACTTATTTGAAAATTTAGTTGGATCAGTTGAAAATTTCTTTCCTTGACGATGTCTAAATTCAATGTTGTTTGCATTATTTTTCATCGTAGTTTATTAATTTTTTTCATCTAAAATTTGAACACGCCTTAAAATTGTGTCGTAAATTCATAAATTTTTTTCTTATTTCTGTGAAGTTGTAGCTGGTAGGAGAAAATTTTTTGTGGGATACAAAAATTTTTGATACAAAAATTAGGCAGGCTTAAATAAGCTAGAAGAACAGCTAAACAAGATGCATGAAGTGAATGGAGTTGTTTTACTAAAAATACAACAATGATAGTGACCAGTGACAACAGACCACTGACCGGTTCTGTAAAGCACCATCGCAACACCATAAAAAGTACAACCATTTTTGTGATCATTCCGACGAAACTAAGTTGTTTCTTGCTCATTTTTGAGAAAAATTTTCAAACAACGATGCAACTGTTTATTGAAATGTTGAAATTTTATGAGGGACTGACTCATCTAAAGATGATGGTAACATTTCATAGCGATTATATAACATTATAAAAGCTACAATATCATGAGATATCTTGCAGTTGTCATAGGTAGAAAAATAATTTATTTTAGCTGATTATAGCCAGCATCAAAGTGACAACTTTCTCCAACATTATTCGTAGCTAGACCTGCCAGAGTAACTTCAATCAGAAAAAATTTAAATGAACAAATTAACACTGGTAAAAGGGGAAATTTGCTCAAGCGATATGTCAAAGGTGCCTGTCCATCCGATAAACACTTTTAAAATCATCAAAAATTATCGGTTTTTAATTAGGAACGTTTTATAGTTCTACATCAGCCAAAGGATAATCCTCTGTATTAAATTGATTTCATTATCTGTTTCAAATTGGCAAGCTACAAATATATAAGATGCACTGTTTGAATGCTTTTTTTAATAAAATTTCTCTTTCAAATGTCAATGTTGTGCTGAATTGTAAATGATTTTAATTTACACGTTTATCGCATATTCGACATCGTGTAAAATAGCGTAAAAGTGTTCTGTAAAGTGTACTGTACATGTTGCAGAATGTGCCACTTCACTTGTTCATTTGTTCGTTGCAATGTGTTGTACCGACCTGCCCTCCTCCGCCATCTCACAGTTGTCCTTCTAGGTCGGATTTCTTTCTCACTGAGTTTTGTTTTCTAGATGTATTTCAAAGATGTTTCAACAAAGCACAGATACTACCAACGCACGCACACACACGCACACACGCACACATTAATTTATTTTGTTTTTTTCCTGTCATTAAATAAAAATAAATCCACGAGTTACAAAAAATACCGTCTTATATTTTTATAAATGATCAATAAACAAAAAAAAAAATTAGAAAAATCAATAATAAGTAACCGCTACGGGACGAATAAAAATGGCTATATACACAAACACAACATTCTCTCTCTCACACACACACACACACAAACACAACACTCACACACCACACACACACACACACATATATATATATATATATATATATAATTATATATTTAAGTTTATAACATAGCGGCTGAATAAGAAAGTTATGGGCAATTTGTTTTGATGCAAATTTGATAAGACGTTCGGAATTATCGCTGTTATCTGTAAGATTGAGCTGGGCATATTTGAACTCTACTTTTTCCAACATTAATTTTATCTGTATGTAGTTTTTTTTTGTTTTTTCCTGATTTCCAAATATTCAGAATATTCAGATTTCCAAATATTCAAATATAATATAAAATAACATAAATATTTTTCATGAAAAGCTGTAAAATCAACAAATTAAAAATAAAATTTTTTAATTTGAATTTAAACCGTTCACACATGCCAACATCACAACGACATAACACAACATTGGCAGAAACGACATATCAGCACAACGGACAAAACACTACCATTACATCAAAAGCAGGCACCGAATATCAACATTATGTTGTTTTTATTCTTCTGCAGCCATAACGAAACTATGTCATAACAATGTCGTGATGAGTTGACATTTGAGCTGTTGCCACGTTGTGTTGCTATGTAGTCGTCAAGTTGTTAGTTAGGTTGTTGATTCGCTGTAACATTCATGCATAAACATATAAAAATACACCACGTAGAGCTTTTGAAATCTAATTTTCTGCTTGAAGTGGTTTCTCAGGGTAGGAAAGAAGATTTTACAATACACAATTCAACGCTTAAATGTTTTATCTTGAAATTACTGAAAAGCCAAATTTTTAATAACGTTTCGTTAACGAAAATAACTAAAAATTTATTGGGAATGTACTTTGGGTAGTGATTAAAATTTCCAGTCATTTCTCAAAAATTCAATAAAATTTATTCATTTCTTTAGTATTTGCGCGTTTCAATCTCTACGCTCATTTCTTAATTTTCGGCGTTTGTTAAAAAAATTTATCGTCTTGTAAAAATTTCCCTACTCTGCCGCTACCTGTACTAACTACACTGCAGAGCACCTGAATTTAATTTAAAAAATCTTCCCAAAAATGAGTAAATAACTCACTTTCATCTCAAATAGTCGCATGTTAATTCATCTCTTAAATCTTTTCCACTGCCACTCAGAACCGGTGCAAAATAAATGACTGGAGCGTGCGTGCGTGACTTAAGGCTCGCTAATCTTTGAAATTTTCTTTATGTGTGTTTAAAATTTGCTAGGCACGTGAAGGAACTGTTTATGTCATCTTGCCTGAAGGCACGTTGTGCTTCTTGCATGTGCGTATCTAGTTGTTCAAAATGTGTTCATGTGGAAAGAGAGCGATTTTCAGTTTTAAATTTTAAGACTTAGTTGGCAAGAAATCGTAAATGTAACGTCAATATGAAACGTCGATGTGATTTTAAACGCGAAAAATTTGAAACGATTTAAGCGTTTTGTTTTTTATTTTTCCTAAAAATTTTATTTTCCAAAATCAAACTTCGTTTGATGAAAAAAATAGAATATGTAAAAATAAAAGCAGTTAACATTGGAAGAACCAAAAACTGAGTTAACTCTCTTTACCCATTCAACCCTTTGAAAAAGGAGAAAATGGACACAGGAAGGTGAACCTGAAATTTAATTTTTATTTATTACAATAATAATAAAAATAATAATAATGTTTATTATTATCCTTTAAAGAATCAAAATTTTATAGACACAGAAAGTGTTACAACATGCAAGAAATAGTATTAAATGATGAGGGAAAACCGAAAAAAAACTAAGCGAGGACGTTTAAGTGTTATAAGCAAGGAAAATGAAGTAACGGTTCACAATAACAAAAACTCAAATCGCAAATGAAGATGACGTACAAAACGCCGAAAGCAGCGATGAAGATGAGGATCAAAGAAGTGGAGAGGACGAAGAAGTGGCCGGTGTAAGTTATGTGGCGATCCACATTCACCTCTACTGAGTTTTCCAACATCTGACGCTTGTAGTTCATAATTTCTGTTTAGTTCAAATTGTTTTCTTTTTTAAAACTTTGAATTTTGAGATGAAATCTCAAAATTAACTTTTAATTTTGAATGATTATGCTATTTAATAGCAGCCAAACAAACTTGTTATATATGTATAATCGTTACAACTTCATTCAAAATCTAAAAAAAAAATTTTAAATATAAAAATATGTTTGTTTTTATATTTTATATTTTTAACTCTTTATCATTTTTGAAATAGTCTCACTATCTTGCGAGAGAAACATTTTTGAAATAAGTTCAAATAACTAAATGAATTGAACCAACCATTGAAGCAATCTGCAGCATGTGTGGACGCTTCATTAGCTGTCATATATTTTTTTGGGCACTTGTGGCAGGAAGTGGCACCAAATTCCGGTTGGAAGGTGTTTTTGGGGCAGGGCAGGCAGTGCTCAACCAGTCCGTGCACGTTTGAATAATATCCCGGATCACAAGGAACTGCCAGTTCAAAAGTTGTCGCGAAGTTTAAAAAATATTCTAAAAATCTTAAAATTAATTCAATTTAACTGAATATTTGTTCAAAATTGTTTAAAAAAATAATTTAATAGTTTTGACTTAGTGATTGTCACGTAAATGATATAGCAACAGATTACCAAAAAAAATATTCGCCATAGGTAGACCAATTACCGCAAAAAGGACGAACGAGGCGATTATTAAAACTAACACTCCGTTACCACTTTAAAAATAGTTACGAAGAAAAATAAGGCCCTAAGCCAACCACAAAACATCTGGTAAAAAAGGATAAATCCAGGCATGCAGATGAAATAAGTTTTCAAATTTGTCAGCTTGTCCTCCTCTGGCAAGTACCTCCCCTCTGAGACCTTCTGGTACTGGTTCTCCAGGTCCTCTCTCAAATCGTCCACCGGACAAATCTTCTCACATATTACCAAATTTTTTTAAGACTATTCATTATTTATAATTTTACACATACCACACACATACACACACACACACACACATACCACACACACACACACCACACGCACACACACACATTGTTTTATTTTGTAAGGACAACTGTATGTTTAAAAGTGTGACAAAACATTTTTTATACACAAATTTAAATTTTCAAGCTTTTTCAAAAAATTTTTCTCTTTGTTTTAACAAACATCTAGAATTAATATAAACTGTGGTTTAGTCCAACGGACATTAATGATATTAAATTCCGACAGGCATAGCTGTTCAGTTATTAGTATCAACGAAACTGAATGATAAACCTCGTACATCATTTGCGAGGTTGCTGTGCATCTGGTGGAGACTGCACTTCACATCACAGGTTTTGTCCGAAAAATCTTGAACAAACTTCAAGACCACTACTTTCGCCACTACTAACCTTTGTATATTCTATGGTGTTGAATTATTTAAAAAAAAAAACATAAATCTCTTTTGGATTTAAGTTATTTTTAAAAGTTAAAATGTTTCACGGAGTTAATAAAGTGACCTTTAATGGCCATAAAATATTGAAGGAATCATTATAATGAATGACCTTGACGCTATAGAACGTGTTCGGCTTCCAGTCATCGCACTCAATAGAGAACTGGTATGGGCAGTAAAACTTGGAAACGCTGCCCTCGAATGGTTTGCAGACGTGATCCTTTATCATTCTCTTGATTTCTTGTAGCTTATTCGATGAACACTTGCTCACCAAAAACGAAAAAGTCATGTTGAAAGCCATCTGAGCTATTGAATAAACTGAAAATTTAAATTAAAAATTGAAATCAACGTCAGCCAGTTGTTCGGGTAATTCGAAGTTTGTAACTCAGAGTAATCGAAAATGGTTTTGAAATTTATTGTAATAAAAGAAAGAATCATTAGTTTATATTTTAAAATAATAGAAAATAAACACCTAATAAGCTGCTAAGTTACTGGCCTGTGACAATAATGAAAAAAATATCGAAACCAAAAAGAACCTTTCACGTGGTACTGAAGTCGATTTGCCGAAATAAATTCGCTGTCGGTGCAATAGTAAACGTTCGACATTTTGAAACTCGAGTTGACGAATTTGAGGACAGTCCAGTTTTTCATCAAAATTATCGCGCCATTGTCTACGAAAATACTCTGGACGGTATCTCCATCCGAATAGTACCAGCGCCGCCTGTATTTCTTGCTGTATTCGTTCGTGAAGCAGGTCAAACTCAAGTCTTCTCCGTGCCTAACAAATGCTTCAAAATAAAAAAACAAAACAAATAGCGTAGTGATAATCAAATCGAACTAAACAAATTATTTGACCAATTTTTTTCGTGCTGTCAGCTTCTTTGAAGGTGCGAACCACGTGGCTCTGGAGGGGATAGGCAGAGGGACGCCTGAATTTCTCCACTGACGGGATGTACTCGCTGGTGGACAGCCCTTCCGAGCACCCAACTGTTAACAATTATTTATCACTTTACAATTTGATAGCAAAATTTTAATTGTTTGTCAGGGTTTGTGAGTTGAATTCTCAAAGTCAAGTGTGATAACTTCAATGTAATGCATTATTTGAAAAACATTTACAAGAAAAATCTCTGAGAATGTTTTTCGTGTTGATGACGAATGATGAGTAACTTCAAAGTGAATACATGGCGCGGAGACTTACGTACTGTTGCACAGGTTGCCCGTCCACCCAAACAGGCAGTCCCCTGATTTGCACGGGGCTTCGCTGGAACCTTCCAGGACATTCTTGCAAAAATGATTCCATTTCGTCGCTTCGTCAAATTTGACGCTGGACTCAACTGACGGGTGTGCCGATTAAAATAGCATTATGAATATAAATACATCGAATAATAATGTGTCGTGAAAGAATTTCACACCATGTATTATTACCTATAACAACAATATAATAATTATTTCCTTCTCATTGCAATACTCTAAATTATCCATTACTCACACACGTTGCAGGCAAATCAACGCATTCTACACACTGGATACATTGAGTTGGGATCTTCTTGCATTTGAATCCAGTCATTGCAAATCAGGACCGGATCTCTTTAACCATTACATCAAATAAAGTAATTACAAAAAGTACCGTCATATACTAAATAGGAGTCAAATTTCTGCCAAACGCATGATTTGATCGACACCTGGTCGTTCACGATCAGCTTATTTCCACAGAAACATTTTATACCGGCCTGCAATCGTACATATGGTCAAACATGGTTGAGAAACTAAACTTTCTTTTGTATGTTGCTCGATAAAAATGACCTTCATAGCTGCAACTTTGTAGAATTTTGATTTGCAGACTCTCCCACACTGGCGGCTGGTCAGCGCGTATTCGTTATGTTCGTAGCTGTAGTCGATCCTCTTGAAGCATCCGTATATTGATTTGCCCCCAGGCGCTGGTTAGTATTTTATTTTGGACAATGTCTCGTTCAATTTATTCCATTCCATAAAATTATACACCGCGTTATTTTAAAAACTCAACAGAAAAATACCAATTGATCAGATAATTTTTTCCATTGAATTAACGCAATTTAAGGTATATATATATATTTATATATATATATATATATATATATATATATATTTATTTATTTATTTATATGTATTTATATATATATTATTATAGATTAAAAAATGCAATCAATAACCTATCGGAAATATGAAGATGTCTTTACCAAGGGCATCACACTTGACAAACTTGGTCTCCAGGTGCACATGTTCACTACAGTGCAACTTACCACAGTTTCCGTTGTTGAGGTCACAACCTTCAGTTCAAAGTTCAATTGCGATTAAGTGTATTCGTTCAAACTTCGTGCATGATTGAAATGAATAGAGAGAAAAAATTCAAGTACGTGAATGTTAAAATGTAGTTAGAATAATCATTTGAAATTTAATTTAATTGAATAAAAAAATATAGATAAGTATATTAATATCATACTATCTTCATAAACAAAAATATGGGCATATATTATATTTATATATTATATTAATTTTAGTTTTCGTTAACTGAAATTTTTCAAAATAAATCAGGAGCAAATGAGCCAGCTAACTAACCAACGTCGTACACCTCTAGCTCAACGATGGCCAGCTTGCCATCACTAAACCGGCCCTCCGACTGCTGCACGATGACGAACCTGGAGAGGAGATTGAAATCTTCACAGACAACCTTCATGGGGTTCACGCCCTGGATGGCCTCCGATGGCCAAGCCCCGCAGAAGTTCACCCTCTTTCTTATATCGTAGTTGGCCGATGTGTCGAAAGTTTTGTTCAGTCTCACAACGAAATTGTCAGCACGTGCCCTAACTATAATGTCGAAATTTAGTTCTGAACAATTTATCAAACTTTAGAAACACTACATATTTCAAATTTCAACTTTTTTTCAATTTTTATAATTCTCTGCACTATGTCACTTGAAGGAGTGAACGAAAAACAGACACAAAATATATGTGGGCTAGGCATTGAAATATAACTGATATAAGTAATATTACTAATATTGACGTTAAAGTAGCCTATTTCCTGTCCTAGCACACATACTTTCATTCGTCTCGGCAATCCTGTTGTACACAACCACGAATCCCACACAATGAACAGCTCCGAGGTCTACAGCCAGCCAACTGGAGATGATGTCATCAATTTGTGCGAATGTGTCATCGTAATAAATGCCATCAGTCAGGAACGCTGCCACCATTTTCAAACCTTTCCTGGCATCTTTGGCTTGTGAACTGGAGTACGGCGATTTGTGCAGTGCCAAATTATTCCTAAAAACTTTAGTTTAAAAAATTCAAAATAAGTTGATAATGAAAATAAAAGTTAATACGCATCTAGCTACCTTCACATTTGTGAAATTTGTTTCTGACGGTCCCGTTAGGACAGACACATTCAGCATACACAAAAGCATTTACCGATGATTCGATGCATTTTGTTTCGCTACCACAGTCTCCATTCACGACCGAACAATCTGATTGTTTGTATTTGGGCAGGAAATTAATAATTAAAAGCCTGACGTGAAGAAAAGTTGGGTAAATCTCTTTTCGTTCATATTTGTGCACTGAATTGTTTATATATATATATATATATATATATATATATATATATATATATATATATATATATATGTATGTGTGTGTGTGTGTGTGTGTGTAATGAATTGAAAAAAAACCTTTACAAGGAACAGGGTTAAAAAGAGGTGATCAATTAAAAAGATACTGTCAAACTGAGGTTGAAAGGATCCAACTGTTTATACCTATGATTTAAAAATATTTAATGATCGGAGGTGGAAAGAGATCATTCACCTCTCTCTCTACAGGACATTCCCTTCCAGCCGGCCAGACACTTTTCAGGACATTGTTCCAGCAGTTCATACTTGTCCAGCGAGCAGTGAGAGTACGAGGAAACACCTCTCTGGAAGTCGTACTGAAACCGAGCTACAGAATAAAATGGTTAACTCTCGAATGATAATCATTAAAATTAATGAAATTAAAATTATGAAACAATTTTAACAAAGGTTTTTTTTAGTAACCTATTTCAATATGTCAAGTAGAAACAAACTTAAAATTTTTATTTTAATTTTCCGCTAACGCGTTCAATTCAGAGATTGGGGTGAAAAAAATTACGTTTTCGATGCTATCGATTAGAGAAAAAAATTTGTAGAGACGCCGGTCACTCACTCCCAAAAACAGTTGGTTGAGATTCTCTGCCTTGAAAGTAGCACCTGCATTCTTCGTTGGAATTTTTCTGGCAGTCCTGGTCACAGACCACGAGATTGGATCGATATGGAGTCAGGAGTTTCACTGTTTGAAAACAGCCGCACTTTTTCAGCTGTTGTAATTTAGCGAGTCCAGTTTGGTAATGATATATTAATATCTAAAAGAACTACAAAAATATTTCAGTATAAATAAAAAACCTACATCGACAATTCTTACCATGATATTGAAAAACGACAAATCCATCTCCAGGCAGAAATGAGCGCACATCTCATCGGTGAAGTGGCCAGAGAATTGGAGCTCGTGTGATGCTTTCGTCAGATCGGCGTTGTAAAAGACGGCGTCGTGCATTTTTCGATGCCAGTCTGAATATTTGGCGAGAGGTTCATATTCGTTGCTCAAAATCACTTAACTCAATGGTTTTTAATACTAAACTGCTACTACTGCTGATAATTATACTGTTTGGTTAGAAACAAAAAAATGATTACTTTTATAAACGGAATAATAGTTCTGCCCTCCGCACGAGTCCTTGCTATGGCATGAAATGTTGCAGTAAGAGGAAGGGACTGCTGAATCCAACCTGTCAACGCAGTGGCATTCGTTGCCACCCTGCAATTTTTTTCGTTAAAATAATTCCCCCTAACCTTTTCATTTTAAATATCTCAAATGGTTCCAAATCTAATGGCTCAACAATAAATTTATAACGCTATTATTAGTTTGACTAGAGCATATATTACGTTTAAACTCTAAATAAGTTTTGCCAAATCGTAAAGTTCGCAAGAGAGAATTTAAAAGTTTATAATTAACAACCTTAATAGCAATGAAGCTGTTGATGTCGTTCTTGCAAGTGCTCAAACAGTCCGAGATAGATGCGACTTCTTTTGATTTCGTCGTTTCAACATGCTGATAGCAACCAACGTAATAGACTGGAATTCATTTCAATTATAGTTCCTTTAGATATTTCATTTTCAAGAAAGATTTTTGAAAAAAGGGATTTATTATACAAAGCAATAAATGCCATATTAGTGTGTCTGAAAGTGCTATCATAACAGAAACTAAAACGTTTAAAGATCACATCGAAATCAATACCAAACATATTTTTGTACCATTTTCAGTCTTTCGTTACAAAAATAAATCTCTTTCCGTTATAAACTTAAATCTGACAAATGATATCAGTGGATGTTTTTTTTTGTGAAATTGAAATAAGAATAAATAGATAATAAACAAATGTCCTCTGGTGAAACCATAAGTGAGTTCATTCAATAGTTTAAACTGGCCCAAATTAATTGTACTTTAGGTAATAAATAAAAAAATAATTGAAATTTACGTAGTAAATAAAAATAAATTCAAAAATATAAAAATAAAAATTCACAAATAAAAATTTCTAAAAAAGGAATTTGTAAACGTTTTTTGTTGAAATAACGAGTCGTCAAAAAAAATGCAAAAATACTGTTGCAAAATTGGCCAGCCCATCCGAGCAGGCACTGGCCTTCGTGGCAGGTTGTCTCTTGGGATTTGTTGCGGTCATTTTTGCAGAAACGGTAGACATTTGCCGCGTAGTCTAAGTTGACCAGCGCGTCCACTTATAAATGAGGATATCAAATGTGAGAATTTTAAAAATTACCATTCTGAGAAATGCATCAATGTTTAGAGTGCGTGCCAGCGATTTGGAAGGTGTTTCAGAAAAGCGAGCTTTGTACATATAAGTATCATTATTACAAAATTAATGAATAAAATGTTTGATTTTCTTTCATCTATTAGTTTTAATAATATTATATTCAATTGACTAAGTTAAAACTTCAAAGTTTCATTTTATAAAATGAAATTTAAATATACCATCATAGACCAAGTAAGTTCCATAGCTGTTTATAATGCAATCATTTATCGGCATTTGTTCGTTGGCAAGCAACTGGTTTCCACAAAGACATTTGACATGCTCCTTCAGGGGAAAGAAAAACATTTAAACATTTGTAAGAGATGAAGAGTTGAAGTTTTTAAAAGATGACAGTTTGGAGTTTGTTTAAGAGGTGGTAATTTGAAATTTTCTGTTATCTCACTCACCTTGAGAGCAGAAAATTTGAACGATCTTGATTTACATTCAGTCTGGCAATCCTCGTACGATAAACCGTATCTGTCGTGCTCGTACTCTGCTTTTAATTTCTGGAAGCAGCCATATATGCTCGGGGGTCCTGGACATCAGAAGGAAAAAATTATGAAAGTTTTTAAAAGTTTATAAAATATTTTAATTAGAAAATTGATCCGTTAAAGTGATTTTAACATAAAAAAATATCAGAAATTAATTAGTTAACTATTTCCGTGAGTAATGATGAGATCTGGTTTTTGTTTGATACACTTGATGGCGATGGTGGCTCTGTGAGAATACTCTATGCACCTCTTTTCACCGCAGTTTCCGTTATTGGTGTCACAACCTTTTTATTTGAAAAAAAAAATTTTTTTTTCTTCCACTAACAATGATATCGTTGGGAATTGCTATTAAACGTTTCCGACTGCTTTGATTTCAGTAAATGTTTTAAAATAACTTTCTCTGAAGGTTCAATTATTTTTGTTAACATTCAATTTTAGCTAAATATTTTTTGCTAAAAAACGAAATGGATTTCTTTGATGGCGTAATAATTTTGATCGAACTTGACTGACTATATAGAGAAATTGAACTACATCCTTTGACAAATTAATAAATTGAAATTATTTAAACTAGATGTCACCTTGAAAAAATATCAAAAACATGGTTTAAATAGTTAAAATAAATGTTTAAATAGGGAAAGTTTTTGAAATAACCAGCGGTATAGATTTTCAATTGGCCGAATGGATTTTCCTGAGCGGTGAACGTGATAGCAATAACAAACCTGGTGGCAAAAGTGAAATCCCTACAGATGACTTTCATTGGAAGAACCCAAAGGCGAGCCTGGTGCATCCACGACCCACACACTTTGACGTGGTCTCGAAAATCGTAGTTGCCGATTATGTTGAAGGTCTCGCTCAGTTTGACGTCGAAGTAATCCAGTATGTGTAGCACTTACGTTATTCCAGGTTGTTAGGATTGTGAAATTTTAATTTTAATGATTTTGTACGGGAATGTTTTTTCCTTCAACTATTTGAAATCTTCAGGCAAATATGAATATTTAAGAGAATTCAGTAATACAAAAATTAACATAATTTATTATTAAAAATTTTTATTAAATGATTAAAAAAATAGTAAAATTGACACAAACATTCAATATTCTTGACAACTTGGCTATAAGCTACGACGTATCCGACGTAATAAAAGTTTTCCAGATCGACAGCCAGCCAACTCAGCTTAACATTATTCTGTGATAAGGCAAGATTCAGACTTGCGGCATTCGGAAGTTGGAAATCCGCGCTGAAATGTCTACGTTTGAAGACCGCTATGTTTTGTCGATGCACTAAGTTATTTTTTAAAAAAAAAGACGTTAATTTTTTTTCTTGCTAAAATCTACTACACCCTCACCTTCGCATTGTTTATTCCTGTTTATAACTTTTCCGCGAGGACAGACACACTCCACGTATTTTCCCCCATTCACCACGGACTCAACGCACTTCATCTCGCTGCCACAATCGCCGTTATTATCCGCACAATCTTCAAAAATAATTATTTAAATTTAAAATTTAAAGATTCACAATTGTAAAAAATTTATTTGATAGCAGTTAAAACTTGAATGAGGATGGAACAAGTAGGGTATGTTAGTTACTTACTTCTTTCTCTACAGGATTCACCCTTCCAACTTCTGCTGCAACCACTTTTGCAACTGTAGACCAACTCAAGCTTCTTGTTGTTGGCGTTGTTGGAGCAATGCGAGTAAGATGATACGCCTCGCTGGAATTCGTACAATTGGGATACTGTGTCAGAGGTTAGAATGAGAAATTCGTGTTTGTCAAAAATACTGTATGGTCGTTCAACTGCTAAAGAGCAGCTAACAATTTTTATATTTCTAAAGGTAGATTTTGAGAAAAAATATTTTTGAATAAGTTAAAAATTAATTAATATTATCCATTAACTGACGATATTTTAAAAAATTAATAGTTTTGTCAATAGATTTCGTTGGACAAAGATTTTTAAAATTTATTATCCGATGATATGAGACAAGATTTTAGCCATTTACAGTTAAATGAAAATAAGTTGAATGATCGTAAAAGTCAAAACTTAATTAAGAGTAGCAGAACCTAACAACCTAAAAAAACTGCTGAAGAATTGGCATCTCCTATCAAGTTTCTCTGGCACACCTGGCCCGGATCATACTCACATTTCTCGTTTTTGATATTATTTGACACTTTGAACGTTTTAACTTCTAAGTGTAGGAAACATTCGCATAAACCAGATTTCTGTAATGATCCCCGATAGATAAGTCACATTTTCAGAAGTTACAAAATTTAAAAGCACAATATTTCTCACAATATTGCTGAAAAAGTTTCCATTTATTTCCGAGCAGAATTCTCCGCACATCTGCAGCGTGTAGGGAACTTTGATCTCCAAGGTAGTTTGGATGGCAGCAAGACGGTGGTCGTAGAAAAAAACGACTTCATGATATTCCTGAGGCTTGACTGGTGAGGTAGCATGTTCTCGTCAAAATTCAGTTACTACATTTCGTTACTTTTAATTCTACGTGATTGTCATAAAATTTAATGTATAAAATGAACAAATTTTGCAGGGGTTTTAAATATTTTGATATATTTATTATCGCAAAAATATACCTTCTGTGAATACCGGATTTATATTTTATAACTTTGATAAATTAAAATTAATACGACTGCCAAAATAATTATGTTTCGAATAAGACTGACTGCTGTAAACGGAGCAGGCGTCCAGACTACCACAGGCTTCGCCATTGGCACATTTCATGTGGCAGTCAGACGATGGAAGAGCTGATGTCAATAAGGAAATGCAGTGGCACAATCTCCCAGCCTAGTCAGAATAAAGTTTCGATATTTATAAAAAAAAACTGTAATTTTATTGGCGGTTTAAAACTGGTTATTTTCTAACATCTTGAACACGTTTATTATCAAATGTAAAAGTTTAAAAAGATGAATTTGACAAACTCCTGCTATAAAACAACATCGCAGTATTCATCTCATACCTTTAAAACTTTCAAATCAGCTGAAAACCTTACATACTTGTAAAGCAATTTTGTGGTAGACTGAAGTCTTGCAGTACACAGAACATTCCTTCACGGAGTTCACAAATTTAAAATGAAGAGATTCGATAAAAGCATCCTTGTAGCATCCAATGTAGGCAGCTGACATTAGAAAAATAAGCTAGTTATTATATTTCAAAATTTTTTTTTGAGTTCTATTTTAGTAATTTTGTCGACTCTCTTTCAATTTTATATTTCTAAATTTCAAATTTCAAACCAGTAACTTGTATTTAATCTTTTCGAATTTTTATTTTTTATAATTTCATTCAATGTATACCAATGTGACAATGAAAAAAAAACGCAAACAATATCATACAAATAATCATAACTTCGAAAGTTTTGTATTTCGCGCGTAAACGAATATGAGTCAGCAAAAAACATAAACAGCAAATTTATTAAAAAATTCCGTGAAATGTCTAATACATCTAAATAGGGATCACAAAAAACAAACAGGCAAACAAACAAACAAACACACAAACAAACAAACAAACAAATAAACACACACATACAAACAAACACACACACATACAAACACACACACATACAAACAAACAAGCAGACAACCAACAACCTTTGAAATTGCAAACAGAAACCACGGCAGCCAGCAGATCTACATCCTCGCATGACATCGAGTGCCACAAGGGTTTGGTTATGTCTGGAGAAAATTATGTTTTTGAATTTTTGTGGCGCTTGTATCGACCTAATTTTATATGTCTGGTTGTTGGTTTGTTTATTTATACATTTGTTTGTTTGCATATTTGGTTGGTTGGTCGTTTATTTAGGGATACTTCAAGTGATTTTTCCATAGCTTCCCAATGTCTGATAATACTGAAGTGTTTGTACTGAATAATTCAAAATTAACAATATCTACCTTTTTCGAAGCACCCGGGCGCTTTCCACCCCTTCTCACATGACCCTGACAAACAGTTTCCAGACTGATCTACGTGGTTCGACTTGGCACAGTAACGTGCAGCAACTGATGCTGGCAATTTTACTGAAACATTCTCTGGTAAAAATTTTAAAATATTTTTAATTTAAAGATGATTACACTCTTAATGAATTCATAATTTGTTTGTCTGTCGTTATCCAACGTCGTTGTGTTAGTAAATTCTAATAAAAGAAATAGGAACAGGTCAGCTGTTTTACATCAAGAGTTAGCAACTTATCTGTTACTATATTTTCTATCAGGGCTAAACACAGTTTAGTATTTTTACAAGACGTTTGATTATAGTTAGTAATCTAAAATTAGAGTCAGTACTGTCCCATTTGATTAGACTCATTGTTATACGCAAATGGAATGTGGTAGCCAAAAGTCTAATATAGAGATTCAGCCTATTGCATAGTTCTTATTAAAAAACCAATTAGCAAAATTATGGATTGCAAATCAGTAAAAGAATATTTAGTTAAGGGTAAATGTTAACGCTTAATTCAAACAACTGTTTAATTTAGTTAAGTTTTTGTAATAGAGATTAAAAAAAAGTGATAGTTCCCACTTTGATACACGTGTATTGCTTCTTTGTTATCCTTGCATTTAAACGAAGGTTTGAGCTGATCCAAATTCGATAGACATGAGCATTTGTCCGTAGACTGTGAATAAAAATGTTAAAATTTCTTTCTCAGTATAATGGTGAAAATTATGAAAATAATATTTATTTAGATGAAATTTGATGTATTGACTGTTCACCTGGACAGCAATATAGATCAGATTGCAGTAGTCCACACAGGCAGTCAAATTTCTCTCAAAATATTTCAGAGGATTCTTTAAATCACTGTCAATGAAGCAGCCAAGATCAGAAACAACCATCATATCTATCACAATTTTCTGTTTAACTGTTTGAATTGTTAGTGGTTCGATTTAATTATGATAGGACAACGGAAAACTCCTACATACGTGCGGTACCTCTATATACTGAGTAGGCACCTCTCCCACCGCAGTAAGTAACATAGTTGGCACACTTTATCTGGCACTGGTCCGATGCAACTTGCTTGTCTTCAAGGTTGCCGCACTCGCATTCGAAACCACTCTTAATCATTTTATAGTCTTTGATTAATTTCAAAATCAAAATATAATAAAATGATTTAAATGTCTATTCGCCTGTTTTTTTAATTTACTTAAATAATCCAAAATGAAAAAGAATGATATGAACAAAAAAATAATAAAAATTCTAAATTGAGATTCTGTTTTACGCGCGGATCGCTTTTTCATCAACCTAGTGTAAATTTCACTAAAGATTTATGCTTGTCAGCCACACGTTACTAGAAAAAGATTTGATAAAATTTTAATAAAGTTTGGCCTCACCTTCAGAGCAAAGAGATTTGTATTCCGACTCTGGCAGAGCGTGAAGCAATCGTGAATTGATGATACCACATAGGTCGTCTTTCCGTCGAAGTTCAAATAACAGCCAATGTAATCTTGAACGTGCATTTCTAGTTTCAACAGTAAAATATTCATTTTAAAATAATCATTTCAAAATAATTACTTTAAAACAATAATTTTAAAACAATCTCAAGCACGAAAATTCAGTTATCTAGCTCACCTTCGCCAAACATCTCAATTTCCCCGATACGAAGAGTTTTATTGCCAGAAATGGATTTACTCATCTGCAGCAGCGCCACAAACCTTGCAGTGGCCGCTTTCTCTGAAAGGTTGACGGCTAAAGAAGTTTCTCCGTCAGCAATTGTCGTTTTGTGGGTGTACCAGATCACGAACTTGTTTTCGTCAAAAGTGTAGTCAGGGTTCGAACTGAAATCATTGAGGCGTCCTAGGCCAAAGTAATCCAAGCCTGTATCTGGAAGCAGAGGACATATGAAACATTACTTCTAATAAGAATTATATTTCAATTTGAAAATGTTTTAAATTAAAATTAGATAAAATATTTTTGGGAAACATATATTTTTTGAAGAATTTCATCAAAACTAGACAAAAAATCAAACTATTAGAAGGAAAATAAACGATGATTTCCAAAAGAAGAAAATAATCAGCAAGATCTATGACCATCCATGCACTTTCATCGGCGGTGTGGAAAGCAAAATTTGTTTCGCTTTTTATTCCATCTGTAGCTTTTGCAGCCCAGATGCCGTTCTTCATGTGCACCAGGCGGTTTAGAGCAATGTTGTCGTGTATGGTAGCTGATGCTAGAAACAAAACATGCAGGTCAACTGATGATAAATATAATATAAAACAGGCAAGATTTTTTTAGTGATGTCAAAACAGATGAAAACAATAAAAGCAGTTGAAAAAAGCTAAGTTAATTAACTTAGTTAATTTTTTTGGTTCCATCAACACTCGCTTAATAAGCATCATCAATTTTTACATAGCCTATGTCTTCGAGATTATTCTATATTTGCGACACACTTTTATACACATTATGAAAAATAGTGCAAGGTTACTTGACTCTAGGACCGCGATTAGGATAAGGAGCATGGAATGTGTACTGTATGTGTACATCCTCTTTCGTTATGTTACTGTAGACCAGTGCTACAAAATCCACGACAAACTATTTCCTTTTTTGTGATAATATTTTTTTACAAAATTCCCCAAATTGTGAGGGTTATTCTGAAATTAATTTATGGATTTTGAGAAATAGATGACTAACCTTGAAGAAACTCAAATCGCTTGTTTGGTCCGTACGATTCAATCCAACACTTATTGATGCGGGTTTGTTAATGAAAATAGTGTAAAAAAAACTCTATAAATGTCTATGAATTTACTGAGATTAAATTTAAATTTATTCACCTTTAAGTTGAAAAGTTTTCATAAGTTTTGGGAAAAAATTATCAAAAACAATTCAAAAAATTTATTTTATGTAATAACTTGTTTAAAATATTATAAAAAAAATTAAAACGACTATTTTAATTGTAAAATAAATAATAAGTAACTGTTTTCGTAACAAATAATTATTTGTTCGTAAAAAAATAAATGTTTACACTAATTAACTATGAACAAAATGACGTCATTTTGGTTTGTTTATTTAAACAGTTTATACTGTTCTATGCTAAACTGCATTTTTCAAATCTCATTTGTCGTATTTCATTGTTTAAAATATAATTAATTAATTAACTAATTAATTAATTATAAATTTCCCCCTTTTTCAATTAAATTCGTGTTATATGTATCAACGAAGTTAACAAGGCAATCTCAAATTAAATAATTAAATAAATTTCAAATAAAACATCAAAAAGATCAAAATCAACGATACTCCTTAATTAATGCCAACTTTTTAAACTCTCACAGACCAAACATGATTAAGATTTCTTCATACTTAACATACTAAAATGAAAAGAAAAGACCAAGTTTTTCTGAAAGCTCTTGAAATGATTTTTCGACTTTCTTTTTCTTCCTTCTATCAAAAACAATCTTCTTCTTCAGAGAAATAAACGGCCAAAAAACAGTATCACGCTGTAACATTTGTGAGGAAACAGTTAAAATAGTATATTATATTTCATATGCTATGCTACTGTTTATAAAATTACAAAAAATTATCATTACCCATTCAAGTCTATTTTAAATTTTAAAAAGTTTTCAAAGAAAACATTTATTGAATTTAAAAAGAGAAAAAATTATTTTATTTAATAAACTTCTAAACAAAATGAGCTTCTAGGTAGTTAGGATGACACTGATGTTTATAAAGGTTAAGAAGATTTCTTAAACAGTAATCAACAGTTAAAATTTTACTTTTATAACTAGATTCATTTTTAAGATGAAATAAAAATGAACATTTAAACATACCACATTCCGACAGATGTGATTACAATGAGACTACACAGAGTAGAGATGACAAAAAAGTTTGTGTATAGTTGTTCTTTCCTGGCTTCGTAGTTCTCGTTTCTTGCCTCGAATATGTCCTTCTGGTTGAGCATTGCATCTGAAAGAGATGTTAAAATCAGAGTAAAATTCAATCGGAATATCTCAATTTTATTTCGTTGATTATTCGTTTATTTAATTTTAAAATTAATCCTGGCATTTATTGTAACGTTTATATTGCAGAATCAATATTTATAATATAATGCGGAAGAAAATAAAGAATTGTATATATATATATATATATATATATATATATATATACATGTATATATATACATACATATATATAACAATTTCTTGACAGAGACTGTAAAAAAGAAAAACGACAAACAAATTGTCAAAAATCTGATAAAGGATGGTCAGGGTCCGATCAGGTTAATAAATATTTGAAACGAATGGCATGAGAAGTTAACCATCGAAACAATCTGTAATCTTCGTAGAGGCCTTCTGCCTGGTGATGAGATTTCGAAGACACTTACGGCAAGAGATGGAACCAAACTCATTCTGGTAGGTGTTTATCGGGCAGGGCAGGCACTGATGCACGTGTCCGTGTATCACTGAGTAGTAGCCAGGCTCACACGGAACTGTTGTCGGAATGATAAACTCCTCTAATTAAAAAACCAAAATGACGGAGACGCTAGAAAATAATCTGAAACATAAAAATCTGTAAAATTTCCATTATATTTCAAAAGAAAATTTAAAAAATTAAGCAAGTGCCACTGAAATCTGGTGAAATAAATGCATTGTTTTTGCAAGTATTGTTACTAGATCTGTTTATAAACTGGCACACTGACCGCAAAACATTCGGTAACTGAGGATAAACCCCGGCAAGCAGATAAAGAGTGGCGTCAAGAGGGATGTCATGTCCTGCGTAGGCAAGTAGCGTGCAGACAATCGGCGAAAGTTATCCTGCAACTCCTTCCTTAGCCTGTACAGAGGATAGAGCTGTGAGAATTTCATTGCATAATTTACTAGTTGGAAATATTTATTTCGATATATATACATATACATATATATATATATTCAGTCATTTTGTGGCAGAATAAAAAATTCACGTAATAATAGGAATAAATTTTTGATAAGATTATGATAATTAACAAATAAAAAAGTAAAGGCCGGTAGTCTCAAAAAAGCCATAATATCTGGAAGATGTAAAAAATTTAAGACATGTAAAAAAATACTCTACGGTAACAGGAAAATTTAATAACAGAAGGTTTTATTAAGTTTTCTACAAGTTTGCTTGATTAGTTTCTTCCTGAATGAAATTTGATTGGCGGATGATTGCGAAGGGGAGAGGCGAGGCCAAAGCGAAGACTCGCCTATAGATATTAGTTGTTAATACCGATTAAAAAAACCTACGGAAACGTGAGCAACTTGTAATAATTTAATTCAATGAAATTCCCAGTAAATATTTGAGACGTTTTGTGATATTTTATATTGTCTATTTATTTTATTTCATGTAATATTTTATATTCTCTCACGTTGTTAGCCAGGTCATGCTGCATTCTTATGAGACTGCAATTTATATCACAATTTTTTTCTGAATATTCTCCAACGTACTTCATGGCTGTTATTTCGGCGATTACCAATCTCTGACTGTTCTGAAATCAAATAGGATTTGATTGTTTTAAAAAATATGTTTGTGACGAAATGATTGCTACACAATTGATACTTTAATACTGTAAAAGGTATTTGGCTTCCAATCATTGCATTCAATGTAGAAGCGATAAGGACAAAAGTAGTTAAAGGCTTGATCTTCAAACGGTCGACAGATAAATTTCTTAATCGTCAACCTTGCTTCTTTGAGTTTGTTCTTTGAACAGTTTCCAACCAAAAAAGAAAATGTTATATTAAAGCCGAGCTGGGCTATTGAGAAAACTGCAAAAAACAGTCTGCCCAGGTTAATACGCTTTTAGAAATAAAAATTATATAATTTTCTAAATTTATATCTATTTAATTGCCGTTTTGAAAATCATACTGTAAAAATAAATTCTGTCAATGAAAATTTCAAAAAAAAAAGTAGACCAACTTTTAACATTGTACTGAAACCTAGACTTTGAGTTGAATTCGGTGTCTGAACAATAATAAACGTTTGATAGTTTATAAGAAGAATTTTTCATTTTCAGGACGGTTCTATTTTTGGCTAAAGTTAAGGTTGAATCTTCGACGTATAAATTTTCTACTGGATCCCCATTCACGTAGAACCAATATCGCTTTTTTTTTTTGCTATGCTGGTTTGTGAAACATGTCAAGTTCAAGTCTTTACCACGCCGAACCAGCACTAAAATGAAAATACTTTTTCTAATAAATTTATTAACGTTCAATCAATTAACCAATCTATCAAACAATCAATCAGCCAATCAATCAATCAGCCAATCTATCAAGCAATCAATCAGTCAATCAATCAACCAATCTATCAACCAACCAATCAATCAACCATTCATCAGTCATTGAAATAGATCGAAGCTTTCACCGAGTTTGTTTCTGTTTCCATTGCCTTTCAGAGTGTACACAACTTGATCTTCCAAAAACGGAGGTGAAAATGGTGCCAAAGTTTTCAACGTTGGAGTGTCTGGGCTTTCAAACAAGGTTTGGTGCGATTCAACCGCTTGTGAATGTTTTAATTTTAAAATAATAATGAACTATAAAAGCTTTCATGAAAAATTTAACAGATAGTCATTCTAAAATATTTTTTCATGGGTAGATTTGTAGAAATAATTTTGATACATTTACCAGTTCTCTGGAGAATTATGCACAGCAGAAAATAAAATTTGTAGTTCAACATGGAAACGCCTGGAAGTTAAGAATGCAAATAAGATGACGTTTTGTTGATACACACACAACACAAGCTTTCATAAATCACACACATAAACACATTCACACATACCCACACACATTCAAACACATACACACAAAAATATATAAAAACCATTCTATCGCATCTCTTTTCTACGAAGTTGACATCATGGACTAATTCAACATAATTTTCTGGAGTCCAAACTTTTAAAAATAACACACACCACGACCAGCTGTAAAAAAACTTCACCCAATTATTTATTTATTATCTATTTAATTATTTATTTATTATCTATTTAATTATTTATTTATTATCTATTTAATTATTTATTTATTATCTATTTAATTATTTATTTAATCCATCTACTCGCTTGTTTAATGTTGAAGTTTTCATGCAGTGATTTTGCAAAAACAAAACTATCGAAGTGTTTGTTATTAAGCTACGTCACCATAGTTATTTTAATTAATTCCCTCAATTTTTATTACTTTGATACAATTTTCTATCAACCAAAAACCAATAACCAAACACCGACAACATAAACCTCATTAACAAATATATGAAAAGCGAAAGACATAAAATTTCAGCGACGTGAATATAGCCGATAATCCTGCTGATACATCATTCAATCAATCAATGATGCAATTTGTTTAGATTATTTACAATTAGAAATACACTCAGAATCATATATATCCATATATAAATAAGCTCACAAACACGCTTACTTAATTTTAATGTATATTGATACGATTTGAAGGGATCAATCCGTTGAACATCAGTTTGGTTAAAACATTTATTGACATGCCTTTTAGTTTCCATGGCCAAGGTAACTAACGTACGTTCTCTTCATTATAATTTACACGGTGCAACGTCGTGAAATGGACTCTTTTTAAATTGATCAACATGGACTCTTATCCAAATGATCAGATAACCGCTTTCGTCGTGGATAAATATAATATTATATCCATAGTTTTCGTCTTGCCGCCCTGAAAATTTGGAATGGGCTGCTAACAAACAATCTAAGTGGGACCATCTTCACCAAGTAATTACGAAAAAAACGAGAGAACTTGCTTTTTAATGTGCGTATGTAGACATGGGACTCCTCTGAAAGAGCCGTGCATGTGTTTGTATTATTGTTATTACTTCTGGATTGCAAGATAACTTATAATGCAATCGATCGAATGTTTTCAAGTTGATGCTGTGCTCGAATGCTGTAGCCCATTTCCTGATTTAAAATCGCATGTGGTTCAGCGTTGACACCCACGTGGCCACAAATAAGAGAGTATTTTTATAACATCTAACTAAATTAACTAAAAATTGAACATTTATTCGCAAAATTCATCCAACTTAACTAAAATGTAATAACAAACAAAATGAACAAAAATAATTAGTTAACGAAATACAAAGCCAAAACAATTGAAAAATAAAAGTTTTCGTGTCAACAGGACCTCGCAAGTCACTTACTATCAATCACATGAACCAGCCAAGGAAGAGCATAAAGAAGCTGAAATATTTAAACAAATTTAAAATTATTCGCTTATAAAACTACTGAAATGCTAAAAAATATTTTCTAAAAAAAATTTTTTTCAAAATTATTGCTATAATAAATGAGGTCTGAACAGTTTAAAATTATTCAAAAATGAATGAAAGCTCGGATAAAAATTATTTAAACAATAATTTATTAAATTATTTAAGAAATAATTAAAGCGATCTATATTCCTACCACATGGCAAAAACTGTGAGTATGATGAAGCAACATGTAGCCAACATAAGAAGATAGTATAACTCATCCCCGAATTGTTCATCCTTCAACTTCCAACTTTTTAGAACCACTTCCTCTGCTGTATGGAGGTACGAAATTCATTATACTTATATCATTTCATATTAAGAGATAAATATACAGATTCTCAAATCAAACATTTTCTTTCTAAAAAAAATATGCATTTATAAACGCGCGAACGTTTCTACCGTTGAAACAATGTGAACTGTTTTCAGTCGCTTCAGATTTCTGTGGGCACTTCTTGCATGACGTTGATCCGAATTTGTCCTGGTAGGTGTTGTTTGGGCAGGGCAAGCATTCCTTTGATTGGCTGTCCTCTGAATAGTACCCGACCTCGCAAGGAGCTAGAGTGGGTAAATAAAAGTCACGCTTAATACAAATATTATAGCTTTTCATTTGGTATCTTGTATGAACTTTCTGCTCCAGCTTGTTAATGAAAAGAAATTAAATTATTTTCTAATCAATTTTTATTCTGCAATGTCTTTTTTTCAAAATATTCATTCAATAAAATACAGCATAAAACACCTGGATGTATAAAAATATCAGTTAGCTGCCGATGTATAATAATAATTTAGAAAGGAATAGAAACAATAATCATTATTTATTAATCTTTTTAATATCCCATCGGACATGCGCACCACAAGTTTAATTAGAACCCAGTAACTGCTGCAACAAGACGAGAGTTTTGCCGCTACGCCATATGTTGCCGAAATGAAACGAATTGAATGGTTAAATTAACTTTGTAGTTCTTACTGCAAAACATTTCAAAGTTTAGGAAAAAGCCAGGAGAGCATCGAAAAGTTGGAATAAGTTCCGTAGTGGCATCAAACTTTGGGAGATAAATGACAGGGTGGCTGTTGAATTTTGCTTTCAATACTTCCTCCAGAGTTTTGGAGGGTGTTAGCTTCTTTTTGAAGAAAATTGAAATAATTAAAATTTAAAAAATTAATTTAAGATTATGACTGTTTCAAATTCAACAACTGCGGATAAATGATAAACTGCAAGTGAAATTTCTGATTGAAAATTTAAAACAAATAGATAGAATAGTTTGGAATGAATTCAAATAACGATTATTATGTTTTTATTTTATTTATTTAAAAAATAAAATATGTATAAAAAGATTTTTTAAAAAGATTTTATTTTTGCCTGAATTTTTTTAAATTAATCTACGTTATTTGACCGTGAACGTTGACCGTGGAACCAGGCCCGGTTCTTCCATTAGGCAAACTAGGCAGCTGCCTAGGGCCGCCGATTTTAGGGGCCGCCAATTTTGCAAAATAACTTAAATAAGCATCAAAAAATATTTATGGAAATTTAAAAAAAAATGAAACAACGTCGTTTTATAAATATATTTAATAATTCTTCAGCTTATTCGATAGATGGCAGTATTGTATTTTAGACTGTAGTTAACTTTTAATCATTCGTTTTTACGGAAGTATATATAAACATGTGTTCATTTTAATCTAGACCAGGCTACCATTTTCAAATTTTATAATTTTTTATTTCCTTATTTTTAATGAATAATTAAAATTTAAAATTTGATTTAACCATGTCAGCTATAAAAGGAAGTAAAAACGATTCTGGTGCTGAAAAACGAAAACGGAAAAAAGCTCAAGAAGAACGATTAGAATCACAAAAAGGTTCTATTTTTAAATATTTAAAGCAGGATGATTTAGCAGTAATAGATGATGCCGAAGCCACTCAGATGGAAGAGAAAACCGAAAGTATGGAAATTGGTCAGATGATTGCATTAGATCATATTCCCAATATTTCATCTAATTTAACAAGTACAAAAGAACAAGAACCAGTTGAGGACAATGAAATTGAAATTACTGCAAAAGAGGAAATTGAATCATTTCAGGATGATAACATTGAAACTGTTGATTGGAGTGATATTGGTTGTTGGCCAATAAATATTGAAAACTCTCAACAACGTGATTTTCTGGTTAAAAAAGGACCTATGAGAATTATTGATCACATTTTTCCATTAACAAATAATAGGCGTTTTTCAGCAATACATTACAAGAGAAAACTTTCGAATTGTGAAACAATTGACAGGCGATGGTTAATTTATTCGATTCTTACAGACAAAGCATTTTGCTTTTGTTGTAAATTATTTTCAAATTCTGTGAATATATTTTCAATGGGTGGTTATAATGATTGGAAAAATTTTACAGCTATGGTAAGTAGTCATGAAACATCTTCTAGTCACATAAACTCTCAAAAAAACTGGATTGAATTGGAAAACCGACTAAATTCAAATCAGATGATTGACCTACAAACACAAAAAGTATTAAATTCTGAGAAACTGCGTTGGCGTGGCGTACTTGAACGACTTATCGAAATAATCCAATTTTTGGCTCAAAGAAATTTGGCATTTCGAGGAACTGATGAAAAATTGAACACACGAAATAATGGGAACTTCTTAGGATTAGTTCAATTGATAGCCAAGTTTGATCCTGTTCTACTCGAACATTGTCGTCGAATTAACAATAACGAGACTAATGAACATTATTTAGGCAAAACCATACAAAATGAATTAATACAATTAATTAGTAGCAAAATTTTGAAAGAAATAATGCTTAGGATTACAAACTCAAAATACTACTCAATCATATTGGATTGCACACCAGATATCAGCCATCAAGAACAAATGACAGTAATACTTCGATTCGTCGAAATAAAAGACAACACTGTTAATATCGTTGAACGTTTTGTAGGATTTTTGCAAGTTCAAGAAAGTACTGGAATAGGATTAACAGAAGCTATACTACAAAAACTCAGTAATTTAGGATTATCAATTTCTGATTGTCGTGGCCAAGGATATGACAATGGTGCAAATATGAAAGGTTGCAACAAAGGAGTTCAGGCCAGAATTTTAGAAATTAATAAAAGAGCTTTCTTTGTACCATGTGGTTGTCACAGCCTAAACTTGTTGCTTTCAGATATGGCTAATTCATCTGTAGTCGCAAAAGAATTTTTTGGAATTGTTCAGCAAATTTACGTTTTGTTTTCTGCATCAGTTCAAAGATGGCAAATACTAAAAAATCATGTAAAAAATCTTACAGTTAAACCATTATCTGATACTAGATGGGAATGTAAAGTGGACAGTGTTAAAGCAATTCGTTATCAAATAGGTGATATCTATGATGCATTGGTTGAAATTTCTGAAACCACAAATGATCCAAAATGTCGGACGGAAGCCATTTCTCTTACAAAAGCAATTCGAAATTTTACTTTTTTAGTTACTTTGTGTGTTTGGTATGACATTTTATCACAAGTGAATGTATTAAGCAAAATCATGCAAAGTGATAAAATGGAAATAGACAATTGTTTGAAATTATTAAAAAAAGTAAATAAGTTTCTTATAGAATTCAAAGAAATCGGTTTCCATGGTTCAAAAATAGCAGCAAAAGAATTAGCAGAAGAATTAGAAATGTCTACAGAAGAAACCATGTTTCCTCCAGCTGTGTCGATTCGAAGAAAACGAACCAAAAAATATTTTTCTTATGAAGCTGAAGATGAGTCAATACATGATCCAGAAGAAAAATTTAGAATCGGTTTTTTTAACGTATTGATGGATCAAGCAATAATGCCTTTAAACGATCGTTTTGAACAGTTGACAAATTATCAATCATCTTTTGGTTTTTTATTTAATATTTCGGACTTAAAATATTGCTCTGATGAAAATCTGCGAGAGCACTGCAAAAAGCTAAGTTTGATACTTTCTGCTTCAGTGTCCGATGATTCGCATCAGCTTGAAACTCAATCCGAATCTGACATTGAAGAACTTAATTTATTTACTGAACTGAAATCATTTGCACATGTGTCACCAGATAACGGTACTCCTCTTGAAGTTATAAGGTTCATATATGACAGCAGATTGCAAGACGTGTTTCCAAATGTTACGACTGCTTTGCGAATTTTATTAACAGTACCTATAACGGTGGCATCAGCCGAACGCAGTTGTTCCAAATTAAAACTAATCAAGACATACTTACGTTCAACAATGACACAAAATAGACTTGTTGGATTAGCACAAATTTTTATCGAAAATGATATTGCTTCTGAACTCGACTATTCAGCATTAATTGACGATTTTGCAAACATGAAAGCCAGAAAAGTCAAATTCAAATAAAGCAAAAATGAATATTGTAATTTATTCAGATGATCATTCGGTGCACTGAAACTGAATAATTATATTTTACTAGCTAGTAGCTACTATAATTACTTTTTACTTTTATGTTGGGCAGTTCTCAGAAAATGGCATTAATAATAAAATTTGACATACAATTTTTAATTCAATTCAAAGTTCTAAAATCTAAAGTATTTAATAATTTGAATTCTATTTTTAAAATATGGAAAAATATTTTTTATAAAAATTGTAAGAACCTATCCAATAAACTAGGTAAAATATGGGTGGATAAAATATAGCTTCAAAAATAATATTATATATTATGTAATATCAATACGTATATAAAAAAAACTAGAAAAAAAACAAAAACAAAAAAACGAAAATAAGTTTTTCCTCCAAGTCACTGACATTGATATATCATATATCATATATCGGTAGAGTAGCCAACACCATAGATGTAGCTCTGCCTAGGGCCGCCAAATGTCTGGAACCGGGCCTGCGTGGAACACTTGGTTCCTTATGGAGATTGCATGAAAAAATATAATAAATGTGTCAATGCTGCACTTGAGAATGAAAAAAATAGAGCCAGTGTTAGAATTTCAAGGGTACAAGTCTGGATTTTAGTGTGAGCCAGTGCAAAAATGACAAAAATTGTTTTTCAAGTTTTCAACGTTTTTAAATATTTATTAAACAATGTTCAAATTATATTTTCACATTTGCTTAATAATAAACAAAACAGAATCACATACTTTGGCTTTAAAAATTTGAAGCATATTATACAAAGAACAGTTTGTGCCACAGAGTTTCTCAAAATAAGGTTTGACTACGTTAGTCGCACTAATACTTGCATCAATCATCCTTTTGGAGTTCTGATGAATTTTTAAAAAAAAATTGCTCATTACGATGAAAAAAGATTAAATTGTAAAGCAAACTTTAAAGATGTTTCTTTTTTCTATTTTATCTCCAACACATTCTTGCTGAAACTTGTAGGGGCAGTCACTTTTAAATAATCTACAGACGTCGTCCTTTATTATTATCTCGGCAAGATTAAATTCTTTTTCTGAACAGCTTGCCACGGAAAAATTGAAAACGATAACGTGTTCCATTTGAGCAATTGAAAACACTACAAAAATAATTCAGATGTTGAAAATTTTCAAAATATTCAACAGCAAAATCCAACCTGAAACTTTGTACTGAATACGATGGTGTCTGAGGTACGCGGTATCAGAACAATAATAATTGTTTGACATGTTACTGATCGCATTTTCAAACAATAGCACGGTACGTTGTTTATTCAATGTTACTTTTGCTTCGCCAATAGAATAATTCATGACAGGGTCCCCATTCACATAAGTCCAATAAAAATCACCCACCGTACTGTATTCGTTTGTGAAGCAAGTCAACCTCAAATTCTGACCCTCACGTATGTGCACTGGAAAAGTTATTTTTGTTCACTAGTTAACAATTAAAAAGTATTATAAATATATTATAGAAAATTTACCAATTTTATTCCTGTTATCGCTTCCTTGTATTGTGAAGGTTATTTGATCCTCCAAAGTAGGTATAGAAGGCAGATTCACTTTGGGTTGCACTGTTTTTAAATAAAATGTTGTTAAGAAGTGCCGAATAATTTGGAGATGTTCAACTTATTAATAATTCATAAACTCATAGTGGAGGCTTTTAATGTTTTTGAGGTTCATTAACAAAATGAAAAGTATTCCAAGGATAAGAAATTTTAATAAAACTATGAACATATTTTGACGTAAGAAGCAAACAATACAACAATTCGCTTCCCATTTTCTCTAGCGAAATGATGGTGTTACTAGTTTGTTGAAAAATAATTAAGAGCAATTGGTAGTCTCAAAATCTTAAAAAGTTGACCATGATCATTGAATAGTTATAATCACTGAAGCTACATCTCAAAATTCATCGAACCTGTTAACACCGAACTTTTCCAGAGACAATATACCTACAATGAGAATGTACGTAAAGAAAGATAAAATCGGATAATAAATCGAAAATAGTTTTACGAGACATCATTGTATACAAACACACTATAGGAGTCTATAATGAAACAAATTTGATAAAAGATTTATCTCCTTTGGTTTTAGTGGAGTGGTCGTGCCTAGTCATTTTCAAATAGATAATTCAAATCATTAAGATATTAGCATAGTTGAAGACAAATTGACATTTGACAATGATTATGAATCGAGTATGCACTGCACAACAAAGTTAAATTAGCCTGTTAAAAGACAGATATTAAATTTTAAAATTTCATTCAATCCTGTTTTGAAACTTTCATTAGCGCATCAATGAGGGGGAAGGGGGGCCATGGCTGCCCCTTTTTGAGCAACGTTGTTCCACGTTTTGAGCAACGTTGTTAGTAAGCTGGTAGTTTGTTACTATACTCATGTAGTACTTAATCTCCTAAACCTGAAAACGTTTGATTCGGTTATAGAAATTCCGACGTCTTAGTTATATAGTATCTTGAATCAACCGGAGAGTTATTATTATGAACAACGTACCATAGATCGAAAAGCAACAATTGCTTGCATTCAAATATAAAAGAGTGAGGAAAAACATAAAAATGACATGAGGCTAGCTAAAGATATATGTTTATATGTATTGTCGGAAATTTTCAAAGCACAACTGATGGTGAGGTAATCTCTTCCTCTATCTTTCTCAGGGAATTTTTGTATGGTCCGACAATAATTTTTGTGTATATTTTTATCGTGAGTTCGACTAGTCCTGTGTGGCACTGGGCTTTTCGAATTATATGATTTTACTGAGTAACACACGAACGCGTAAAAATATTCGATAACAATTTTATTTATCGACGGAAGTAAATGAAAAGGAATTGAACTAAATGAACTCTATAATAACGTAAAATGTCAATGAACAAACTGGAATACAGAAATTAGAACTTTTTCTCGTTGGATCTTCGACTTGGGATATGTTTCTTGCCGTTTAATCGTACAACCTCGACGTGTGTAACCGATGGTGGTGTCGATACAACTCCAAGAAATCAATAAAATGAATGCGGGAAAAATCACAAAAATCGGAGCCTACGGAAATTGCAAGCTGCGTGTGAAACTATACCGATGAGTATAGAATCCAGCAAAGAACCCTAGGTCCACAAATAGCACAAGAAACAAAACAACGAGGCAGATTCGTTTCCACAGAATCCAAGGCCAGTTTTCACTGGGCCTGTCAGTCAGTCGGTCGGCTTTCGCACAACCCTGGCCTGTTTTCACTGGGCCGTCAAGTCTGGTTGACTTTCACACAACCAACACAAAACAACAAGTGTCAGAACAACAACGGAAAAAAATTGTGTGACTTTAGTACTTTAGTATGCCAATGAGCATCCAAATCCACTTTTTGAGAAATTAAGACGTTTCTGAAACTATGCCAATGAGCATCGAATCACGAATTAAGTCTGTTAGGGACCAGAATAGGCACCGATTACTCGAAGCTGCCTAACTAGTCAACCCAGTTCCAATTCTCTCCTTCCTCCACCCTTATCAAAGCAAAATTAAATTTTGTTTCGGGTGTTTTTAAACATAAAAATTTCCAAGGTATGTCCAATTAATCAAAAAAAAAACTACTAATTAAATTTTAAAATAATTTGTAATAATTTGTGACGTCATCTAAATTGCAAAACAAAAAAAATCGTCTTGTCACCTATCGAGTAAATTAACTTGCACCATGCCCCCTATCGAGTGAATAAATTTTGCGTTTAAAACTTTGAAGTATTTTTAGTCAGTATTATTTCATAATTCTGACAGTATATATTAAAAAAACTGTAAACGTCAAAGGATGGAAAAAATATTCCTATCAGAGGATAGAGCAAAAGGTTTCTAGTAAATAGAGGTAAAAAAGGCAAATAAATATAGACCTTATGGTAGGGTATTAAAGACATAGAATGTTTAGCCGAGAAAATATTAAACTGCCGAAAAATAATTTACTTGGCGTTTATGAGCTAAATTTCAAATTTCACGTAAACCTTCAACACGCATTCTTATCTTACATATCAGACGTAAAAATTTTAAGTTTCCGACCGAAATATATAGAAAAAAAACCAAACAATCTTGTCAATACAAATAAATGAATAAAACAAAATGAAGAGAATTATAAACAGCTTACTATTGCAAAGGCTACCCACCCAACCAGACGAACATTCTCCGGATTTGCAGGTTTCAGCATCAGATTCCGATTGATTATTTTTACAAAATCGATACCACTTTGAGGCATCGTTGTAATCAACGCTTGAATCAACTAGGAGATGATAACATTAAAATTCAATTTAGCAACGAAGCAATATCAGTTATATAAAAGAATTACCGTCGTAAACTATGTATGTGTCGTACCATTCTCTGACGCAATAGTCGATTGAAAATTGATCATTCACGACAAATTTGTTGGCGCAGAAGCATTTAATGCCAGCCTGTCTCAACCACACAATAATGGATACATCAATTATATTCACATCAAGTCAAAAAGAAAGTGGTCAACCTTCATTGCAGATAAACCGTACGACTTCGATTTGCAAATATTTGCACATCCTGCTTTCGTTAAGGCATAATGGTCGTGCAAATACTCGTGGCTGACTCGTTTGAAACATCCGTAAATAGAATCTGTATTCAAACCTGTTTTCAAATTCAATTACCTTAACCAGAAAATAATTATAATGAATACTTTCGAAACGTGATCATTCGTTTTAGTAACACATTTCGCAATAAGTCAGTTAATATTGATGGCACGTGAAATTAATATTCAACCAGGAAAAATAATAGTAGTCGCTAACTTTTAGCAAAAAAAGTTTACTAAGGAAAAGTGTTACATTGACTAATTTTGAATGTATTTGAAAAAACATTCATTACGTTGTGGTATTTAAATGAAATTGTTAGGCGAAAAAAGTAAAAAAATTTTGGCAGCAAAACCCAGAATCAGAGTCGGAAGTCAGAAATTTTTCAATAAAGACATCATGGTCAAAAAATTTTATCCAACTCCAAAACCCTGGATGAAACTCATTTTACGTCTCTGTATCCGCTAATACAGATTTTTATATTATAAAAATATTAGGCAAATTAGGAGTAATCAATGAATTCATTAAACTTCGATTTTAACAATTTTTTAGAAAACGGATTATGAGCTAAAACAGTCAAGATTTAGAACCTGGCGAGGATATGACGATATCATCACCTAAGATTTCGCATTTAATAACTGTTACACCACCATGCAGAACTTCAGCGCAGTGCAAGTCTCCGCAATTACCGTTGTTAACATCACAACCTATTCAAATATAATTATGTTACTGGAATATATTTTAGAACATTCCGAAATTTCGCCGTGTAAAATTAAAATTATCAATTATTATTATTATTATAGAATACAAATATTACAAAAAAGTTTCCCAGATTTTGAATTTAAACATTCATATTTGAAATAATTAACGCACCAACGCTATAAACTTCTAACTCAACGACTCCCATGCTTCCAATGAAATTCTTATCTGCCTCTTGTACGATGACAAACTTTGATATCAGTGTAAAATTTTCGCAGACAACCTTCATCTGGTTCACTCCATTGAGAGCTTCAGACGGCCACCTCCCACAAAGGTTAACCTTCTTCCTTATGTCATAGTCAGCTGAAGTGTCAAACGTTCCATTGAGTCTCACAACGAAATTGTCTAACTGATGCATAACTGAGAATTAATAAAAATTACTCATCATTGTGACTAATTATGGTGAATAATTCTAAAAAAATTTACTTAAATAAAAACCTTAAATAACAAATATTTCAACTGTTACAAAATATAAAACTCAATATCGCAAACTTGAATCTGTCTCTGAGAATCTGTTATAAACAATGACATATCCAATGCAATAAGACATTTGAAGGTCAACAGCCATCCAGTTCGATTTCTTGTCATTGATTTGGGCAAATTTAAAGTCATAATAAATCCCATCAGTCAAATATTTAGCTTCGTTTGCTCCATTTACCGAACTCAAAAACGCTGGCTTATGCAGAGCTAGGTTTTCTCTGAAAACTGGAAAATTTAAACGGTTCAGAGTCTAACAGTTTAAAAAAAATCTATACCTTCACACAAGTTAAAGTTGTTTCTAACTGTGCCGGTGGGACAGGCACATTCTGTGTACATTGTATTGTTTACCAAAGATTCAACGCATTTCATTTCAGCACCACAATCTCCATTCCTCACAGTACAATCTAGCAAAAGTTGCAATACGCTAAAATAAGAAATGAAAGACGAAAACTAACAATTCACCTCTTTCTCTACAGTCATATCCTTTCCACCCAGCATCACAACCACTTGCACAAAAATGCATCAACTTGAGTTTTCCAGTTATCGGACAGCGGGAGTAAGAAGACAACCCTCTTTGAAAGTCGTACGTAAAACGAGCTACAATTCAAATCAATCAATCAATTTAAATTTGTAAGCGGCATTTTGCAAAGTTAAACATCGTCATCAATGATTTTTACAGATTGCTTTTGAGATCCGCTCTGAACTTCATAAGTGATGGAGAAGAAGCTAGAGAAAAAGATAGGTAGTTCCAGAGAATGGAACCAGAAAAAGAAAAATCAAATTTTGCGTGAAAGTGTTAAGAAGGAGTGAGAACGAGAAAAAAAGATTTTAAACTGGAGTGTTTATGTTTAAATGTTATATCTGTAAAATACCAAAAAAAAATTGGTAAAAATTTGTACATTGATGTCTAAATTTTAAAAATTATTCTACATTTTAAAAGTAGTCAGTACTAGAGAAGAAGATATGGAGATATACTAAATAAAATATAGGCACGAGCAACTAAGCGAGCAACAGAGTTAAAACTCAATTCAAATCAATCAATTTAATTTTTAAAGCGGCATTTCGCGATAATTGACATCGCTCCTCAGTGAATTTTACAAACAGATCCGCAATGAACTCGTAAATGATGGAAAAATAGTTAGAAGAGAAGGTCAGGAGTTCCAAAAAAAAGGAAAAAACAGATTCAGCATAAAATTATTAGTAGTAAAGTTATTCTGGAGGTTATCCAGAGAGCATCTCTCAGGCATGCTAGCGCAGCTGATTCGTTGATTGATTGTTGTTCATCCAACAATCAATGCCTGCTATAAATTTGTTCATTGATTGTGCCTCAACAAGTTTATTTGGTAATGAGTTCCAAGTATTTGCGACACTATTGAATAAGTAATTCTCTTTGCCATCGACTTAAAAAGAAGTGAGAAAGTGAAAGAATATTCTAAACCGGAGCGAATTCCGGAAACTTTCTATTCCATAGGTAGCCAGCTCAAGAGAACAAAATATAGAGATACGAACACGAGCAACTAGACGAGCAACAGAGTTTAAAACCGCTTAAATGATAGTGTGCAGAATCGAGAAAACCATAGTGGAGCAAGTTGAAATAACAATGAATCTTATATTAAACTAATGAAGTAATAAGCAAAAGTAGAGTAGGATCATCAAGGAAAGGAATAGTAGAACCTCAGTTTAGAGTTGCCCTCAATTTTTATATATTTTAATAACAATCTCTGAATCATTATTGAGTTTATCTTGGGAAACTTATGAACTTGTTTTAATAACAATTCCAATTATTACTGTAAAAATGGAAAACTAGCTAGTAAAAAAACAGGTTTCAATTATTTTCTGAAACCAACAAACAAATGAATGATGACTTGATGATCAAATTAATTTATTTACTTCCAGATAAGACATCATCTGTAGAGTAAGAATCGGAATAACATTTACAAATTTCGTCTTCATCGTTTTTACACGAACGACACGGAATGTTGGAATGACTCAACGACGGCTGAATTATTGCTGCATTTTGAGCACAAGAGCATGTGATTGCATCCTTAATTCAAAGGTAAATTAAATTGATTTAAATCAGTAAAAATAAAAGTTCAGTGTGCAAATCATAAACAAACTTTCATCATGAAATAAGTCAGGCTCATTTCCAAACAGAAATGTGCGCACATCTCGAGAGTATATGGTACATGGAATTCAAGATCATGTTGAGTAGTTGTACTGCCAGCTCGATATGAAACGAACACGTCATGTTTTGTTCGATACCCGTCTACGAATAGAAAGTAAAAATGAAGTCAATTAGAAAGGAAATGAGATAATATTATTTCTGCCAACAAGAGGTTACTTTTATAAATGGAATAATAGATATTTCCACCACAAGCCTCGTTGTTGGGACATGAAGTGTTGCAGTAAGAGGAAGGAACAGCCGATCCCAATCTGTCGTTACAGCTGCATTCTTTGCCTCCCTTAAGTATTAATTATCTAATTATTTAATTAACTAAAGTGAAGATACGCTTTCAAATTTTTTGCAAGACTGATCAATTAGAATCCGTTATCGCCATCATCAACTTGACAATTAAGATGGCAAATCAGATTTGAAAATATTGAAAAAGTTATTGGCAGATGCATAGTGAGATTATTGGATAAACGAAATATAGTGGATGTTGTTGCAGTTGTTGCAGATATAACCATCTTTTCCATTGGCAGTTTTATAAATTCGATTGAACTACAAAAGGTAACTTCAGTTTATATTGCAATAAACAAAATTTAATTACAATTACATCTAATAAGCAGCTAAATAATTATTGTAATAAAGACGCGTACATGTGGCAATGTACTCCGAATAAATTGCAAAAACCATATCATCAACAGGACAAGCAATAAACTATATAAATATTAAAAAATTAGTTTTTTCAATAAATATTTTTCAAAAATTTCATTGTAATTTTTAAAAATAAAAACAATATAATTCAGAATAATATTTAATTTAGGTTAATGTTTAAAAGCAATAAACATTATTATTACGATTAGCAGGGGCTATAATACGTTCAAGTTAACTTCTTATCTAAAATTTAAATTTACTTTCAAAGCCAAGAAATTAGTTTTTTCCTGTCTGCAGAAAGTCAAACATTCCAAAACCGATCCGACATCTTTCGTTTTTACTTTTTCAATGAATTGATAACATCCAATGTAGGACACTAAATGGTGAAAACAACAATAAAGTTTTATAAAGTACTTTGCCTTGAAAATATTTTCTAAATTTTAAAAACGTAAACAGAGTAGGCTTGAATCAACCAGGTATCGTAATAACGACCACTTCTGTAAAACGTGGGAGGTGCCAAGTTTTGGTGAGGGTGACGTTACAAAATGTACATTAAGATAAAAAAAACTCTTCTATATTGCTATTGAGTATTTTAAATGATTCGTTTCTTCTTCGACAATCGCTTTTTAAAAATCGCTGTAGTTAATAAATAAATTGGAAGACAAAAGTCATTGTTGGTCCTTACTCTCAATAAGAGTAGGAAATTTTACAAAGTTCGTGCTCTGGTTTGGTTTGACAATGAGCACACTTAATCAATAATTTAATAAAACACTCTATTGCTCACTTTGTTGCAATAACAAAAATGCAAATAATGTTGCAAGTTTCTGGCAAAAGAAATACAAAATTTAAAAGAAGAAAAAGGCTTAATTTAAAAAAAAAATAATTTATCAAACGTTTTTTACAATAGAAAATTGAGTTAATATTAAAGATGCTTCAAAAAATATTCACCTCTGCAAAAAGTTTCCCCCCAGGCACCTGAACACTTCCCAGATTTACAATATTCCTTATCTGCTTCTTCTGGATCATTCTTACAAAAGTGATACCACTTACTTGCATCTTTATAATTGACACTCGATTGAGCTACAAAATGAACGATGTTTTTAATGCTTGAATGAGACAGTCAATCAATCAAATTTATTATGTATTGTATTTGATTTGTCTGATCAATTTACCGTCATATACTATGAAAGAATCGTGATATTCCTGCATGCAGCGATTGATTGACACCTGATCACTCGCATAAACTTTGTTTCCACAGAAGCATTTTAAGCCAGCCTGAATCAACAGAAGCAAACTTAAAATTAATCATTAATTTTAATGTTTTTGGTGAGTGAATTTTCAGTCTCAGTTCCGACTATATTGTTACCGTTTGGTATATAACAGTATTATGATACGATATGATATGATGTGTGTTTGTGTGTGTGTGAATGAACGTGAGTTTATGTGTATGTATTTATTTGACATTTCTGGTACATTCATAGTTAGAATTTTTTTATTTAAGGGTGGCCTATACACAAGTTTATCTTTTTTGGTCATTCTTCAAACAAAAAACAAGTGGATGAATATGACAAAACGCTGTACATCCACCTTTATTGCCGCTACTTTGTACGATTTTTTTTTACACAAGCTTCCACATGCTTTTGTAGATATTACGTCATCGTGTAGTTCAAATTCGAGTTGAACTCTTCTGAAGCATCCATAGGTTGATTGGCCATTGGAATCTTTTGATTTATAAATAAATGCTTTATAATATCAGTCTGGTTCTCGAAAAATAATTTTAATCTAGTTTAACTAAAATTTTCAACCCAATGTTTTCATATAAATTTTATTGGATATATTGAAGAATAATTTTTATGCTTCTGGTATCGATGAACTTATTTCATGAAAGTGGATTAAATTTTTTTATTTTGATTGAATATTTTTAATAAAATATCTTTTGTTTGCAAATATGCAGTACAAAACACGCATTATTTTGTAGAATGAACGTTTTTTCTAGAGAACATGAAAAAGAGTTTAAATATGAAAATTCATGCGTATCTTAAGCAAATAGTAAAAATAACGTCAACTACAACAACTTGCCAAAATAATAAAAAATATCGTTAAATGATTTCTGAGTAGTTTAAATGTGTGGTCGATTGATCTGATGCTGATCTCTTTGGCAATTTAATTAGGTAATTTTTTTAATTTCCTGTAAATTTAGCTGCAAAAAGTTTTATTTGTTTACAAATGTAATTTTAACGCTATGAAACATTCAATTTAATTCCGCAGCAAAGAATATTTATTTTTTTCTGCTTCTTACTTATGCAAAATACCTAAATTTCGGCGGCAGCATTTACAAGAAGTATTTTTAATTGTTCTTGAAAGGTTATATAAATTTGTAATTAATTACTATTTAAATAAATATAAATAAGTAATTTTGAATAATAAAAATATGAAATTAAGCTTAAAACACTGTATCATCTGAACCTGGGGCGGGTATGAAAATTTCCTTTTTAAAATCTTCACATTTGATAACTGATACATTATCATACAGAACTTCAGTGCAACGCATTTCACCACAGTTTCCATTGTTAATATAGCAATCTTTAGAGCATGAATTGTATATATGTATTGATTATTTAATATTAATGTAACTAAAAATTGCTTTAGAATTTTATGAGTAACAAGTAACAACGTATGAACATTGCTAGAGTTTGATATAATGTAAAGGATTCATACAGTCTTTATGCTTCTCTGCTCATTTTTGTGACTTTTATTTGTATCTGTTATTCGACGATTAAATGCTTCAAAATGTTCATGCCAATTTATATTTTAGTTCTATTTATGTGTGCAGACGAACGTGTATGTGAAAATTTGATTTTTTTTAATAAAATAAATTATTGATTTTTATTTTTTGCTCATCCACTCGTTAAATATAAAAAACGCACCAGCGCTATAAACTTCCACTTCCATACTTGCTACGTCACCAAGATGGAAATTTTCATCTGATTGTTGAATGATCACAAACCTTGATATCAGAGTGAAATTCACGCAAACAACTTCCATCGGTTTCCACGGACCATATACTGTCGCACCCCACCTCCCACAATGTTTAACCTTTTTTCTTATATCATAATCAGCTGATGTATCAAACGTTTCATTCAGTCTAACAACAAAATTGGTTATGCTAGAACTAGCTGTACGGTAATAAATCAAGCTTTTAAAAACTATTGAAATTGATTTAAACCACTTAAACATTCATTATTTGTTACATGAAAAAATTAGAAGTACAATAAATAAATAACATTTCAAAAATTCCGCATAACAATTAAGAAACATTTTATTGATAAATCTAGTTTCTCGCAATGAATATCATCAACTTCACCAACAAATATAGTCGCTTAGTCTAGTGTAGAGAACAACCAATCCAACGCAATAAACATTTTGGAGATCAACAGCCATCCAGTTCGATATGTTATCATGAACTTCGGCAAAATACCACTCATTATAAATGCCATCCGTTAAATATTTGGCTTCATGTTTTTCATGTACCGAACTCAAATACGGAGGTTTGTGCAAAGCTAAATTTTTTCTGGGCACTAAAAATAATTACTTGATTCAAACGCTGAAATGGTAAATATAATAGCTCACCTTGGCAATCATCATAATTGTTTCTAACTGTGCCGGTAGGGCAAACACATTCTGTGTATTTCTTATTGTTTACAAAAGATTCAATGCATTTCTTATCTTTACCACAAGCTCCGTTCTTCTTTGAACAATCTAATATAACGATTTTAGCGCGTCAAAATAAAGATGAAAAACGAAAGAACACTTTCTTTACCTCTATCTTGGCAAGTCTCTCCTTTCCATTCGATATCACATTTTACACATTTCACAATTTTATAATTCGCGCCAATACAACGTGACATTCGAGACCTTCCTCTTTGAAAATCGCTTGTAAAACGCGCTTGAATAAAAATAAATTAATCAATTAATAATAGACATCGTTCGGTTCAGTGCGTCAAGAAGTTTCAACGTTCAGCCGGTTTTAGCCGGATTTACAAACACAAGTTCGGTCGCAGTCAAAGCTAGATTTGTGCACTGATACATTTGCTGCCATAACTTGTGACTATTGCATCTCTATCTCGCCTTATTTTATAAATTATAGTTTTTAAATATTGTTATATATTATAGTTTGTATATATTGTTTCCGCATGATTCATTATATACTTCGCTGCCATTTTGTCGTAAATGTATAACGTATGTATAACGCTATGTCTAAGTTTTCGTTATCGGAAGCCAGCAAAATGGTAGCAGATAAAGTGATTTAAAAAATTTAGAGAAGGATTCATTTCAATTTCTTGTGAATGACGTCAGTCCCTCAATGCTTTTATTACTTGGAGTTTGTCTAGTAATACAGAGAAAATAGCAAGAGGACATTTTCTAATAAATTTAGGTAAAGAAATTGCACCAGAAAAGTCAATAACTGATGCTTCTATGCCATCCCTGCATCCACCTAATAAAAGAAATGTTATTCGTGTGAAGGGAAGACGAAATACAGAAAAAAAAAACATGGGCAATATGTAAAAGAATGTCTGTTGTCTACAACTCGTGATAATTGTCATCAATATTTGTAAATTATGTAAAAAAATCAAGTTGTTTCTTAAATTTGAAAACTTAACAGTTTAATCTTTTTTGTACAGTTATGTTGGTCATAAGAAATGAATGTAAATATTTCTGGGTGAGTTTTTTCAACGTAAAACTAAAAGGGATCAAAAGGGACCTCAATGGTGATTAATTAGTGTCATAAAAAATGCTGGAACTTCTAGAATTTAAATCTTGTGCCACATAAATTTTATTATCTAAATCCCGCGACATACACACGCATGGCAAATGACATTCTTTGGTTAGGACAGATAGTATTGTTCTTTAGTAATAGTGCACTTGAAAATATAAATTTCAGTTAGGGAATGCAAATAGATATTTTCCCAGAGCACATTTTATGGTCCCTACTCCGTATTGCACACCTTAAACTTTATATGAACAAAAATTCTGCATTGAAAAATTACAAAATATTTATTAGAAATGATTTAATTTTTAAAATATTAAAGATGAAAAAAATGTGAAAAATTTGTGATATTGAAAAATTTTTAATTCTAAGAATTCTAAATGATACTTTACTTATTAGCATCGATAACGCCTCCGGGTAAATATTGTATCTAATATCACCTACACACTGACATTCACCTTTCGGATTACTCTACAATGAAAAAAAAAAATTTTGTTGAACCAGTTGTTTAACAACTTTACAAGAGCAACTTTACCCAAAAAAGTGGATAGTTTAGTTCCATACACAAAAATATACACTTTTGATAGGCATCAAAAGTGTATATTGGCCGAGGCATTTTGATTGCTTCGGCATACCGGTCTAAAAAAAATAAAGGTAACATTTTAAATTTAAAAAATATGAAAAAATATTCTTGCCAATAAAAAAATCTAAACCATCATAAATGGAGTAGTATATTTTTCCGCCGCACGCATCATTGTTGGAGCATGAAGTGTTACAGTAAGAGGAAGGAACAGCTAATCCTAATCTGTCGTTACAGTTGCATTCTTTGCCACCCTTACATTATTTTATTTAGTGAGTTCGAAATGTAATACATATAATTTAGAAAAAATGTTTAAATATAATTAAACAATGAGTAAAACAACACAACTAATACGAATTTTAACGACAACGTGAAAGGCATAAAAAAACTGCACCAAAACATAAAGAATCATTGCAATTGAGACTCGTTCATTTTGAAATAGAGCGGTTCTTATCACGGTGTCGAATTTAAAATACCCGACTCCAGCTCCAAATGAATTATACATTTTGAATAAAATTTCTTTAGAACACAAATAATGAATAATTAAACAGAAAAAATTAATAAATTTTTCATTTTATTTAAAGTTAAATTTGCGAGTTTAAAAAAAATTTATTTAAAGTTTGGATTCTAAATCAGTTTATCTTTTCAATGAACAAATTTTGTCCAAACTCCGAAAGCCAGAGATCGAATTTGATTTAAAATAGATAGAGCTTTGTTTTTTTAATTTGTTTACTTGCCAATAGGAAAAAATTTATGAAAGTTGATACAGAAAATAACTTTTGTGAACATAACATAACATCTCTTACTTTTAAAGAAATGTATCTGGTGGTTTCTTCTTTACAAAATGAAGAACACTCTGAAATGGAGCCAACGTCTTTTGTCTTAACTGCTTCAATAAACTGGTAGCAACCAACATAGTCCGCTAAAGGATTTTTCAAGTAATACAATTGCATCATTTTAAATTATTATCAGCTAACATTTTGAATGTTTAAAGGAATTATAGACAAATATTTGGAAACAGTAATTCTTAGATAAAAATTAAAATTGAAGTTATTCCATCAATATAAGACTGACTGATCGAAAAAATGACAACACTAGACCAAGAAATTGACTAACCACTAAAAGTTATGTTAGCCAATCGGCGCAAAGTTATGAATGATTTTCTAACAAAGCAATAATAGTATAAAGCAAAGTTGTTGGAAAACAATTTATGCTGGGCAAAAAAATTTCAGAAATTGTTATCAAACATATCCGAGAAATGTTCTAAGTTAGTTTTGATATAAGATTTTTAACGAACATGAGTTGAAACAAATAATGACTTTGAGAATGTACGCAAAAAAAGATAAAATCGGATAATAAATCGAAAAAAGTTTTACGAGACATCATTGTATACAAACACACTATAGGAGTCTATAATGTAACAAACTTGATAAAAGATTCATCTTCTTTGGTTTTGGTATAGACGACGTAACGGGCAATGTGCCTAGCCATTTTCAAATAGATAATTCAAATCATTAAGATATTAGCATAGTTGAAGACTAATTGACATTTGACAATGATTATGAATCGAGTATGCACATGCACAACAAAGTTAAATTAGCCTGTTAAAAGACAGATATTAAATTTTAAAATTTCATTCAATCCTGTTTTGAAACTTTCATTAGCGCATCAATGAGGGGGAAGGGAGGCCATGGCTGCCCCTTTTTGAGCAACGTTGTTCCCCGTTTTGAGCAACGTTGTTAGTAAGCTGGTAGTTTGTTACTATACTCATATAGTACTTAATCTCCTAAACCTGAAAACGTTTGATTCGGTTATAGAAATTCCGACGTCTTAGTTATATAGTATCTTGAATCAACCGGAGAGTTATTATTATGAACAACGTACCATAGATCGAAAAGTAACAATTGCTTGCATTCAAATAGTGGTCGTGCCTAGTCATTTTCAAATAGATAATTCAAATCATTAAGATATTAGCATAGTTGAAGACTAATTGACATTTGATAATGATTTTGAATCGAGTATACACATGCACAATATAGTTAAATTAGCCTGTTAAAAGACAGGTATCAAATTTTAAAATTTCATTCAATCCTGTTTTGAAACATTCATTAGACAAAAATTAAAATGCTTCAACAAAACATTCACCTCTGCAAAAAGTTCAGTTTTTATGACTAATTCAAAACTTATATGTGTAAGATATGAAATAATTATATTTTTGAAAAAATATTAATTAGACTAGATAATACTAAAGTTACCAAACTCTACCTTCTGAGGCTGCTAAAAATAATTAAATTTCGAATTAAGAAAAATAATTAGTTAATGAATAAATCAAGGTGATGACAACACACCAACACATGAAAATAACGGTAGAAGCAAATATTGCTTATTGCTTGACTGAAAATGTCTGCCTTACACTAAAGGGAAACTAAAAGGAGAAAAGGAAAAGGAAAAGAGTTGGGAAATGAAAAAGGTGCTAAAACATGCTTGGAACACATTATCCATTATATAATACATTATCAAACCGTCTATGTAGCATTTATGCAATTTATACAATTGATAACGTGCGAAATTAAAAGCAATCTCATCTCATTGCTCTAAATTTAGGAGATATGATTTTATTATAGGAGAAGTTGGTAAAATGTTTCAAGAGGTACCGACAAAGAAATAAATAGCCTTACTACAATATATGTCGTAATGCTTCCAG